TAGGAACATTTCCCGAAGTGACTACAACAGCCTGAGACACCCACCCCCAGCCATACTGAGGCTTTCAGAAGCAGTGTCCAGGTAGAAGGTAAGGTTCGAGCCGGGGACCTCTCGATCTACAGTCGGAAGCTCCGTCACTACGCGGTGCCTCCACGATCCACAGGGTAACACAAGTTCTTCTGTCTGTCATCTGAATCCCAATGTGCATGTCTCTTTCGTCCAAGCATGGATATAGGTTCGTCATTATCGAATATAGGCACTTTCGTGGACAACTGTTTCATGTCGACTGAACCTATTATAAGTTTTATAGCCTCTGCCGCNTCTGCCGCTGGAACGGGTTCGACGAACTCAAGTTGTTTTCATCCGTCTCTTTTGAACCTTACAACCTCAAATTCGATGTATGTCGGATACAACACATGCGTAGAACTGTGTTTGTTTGAGGGCGAAGTCACGCCCAATTTATCTGTTCGCATATAGTTAGATTCCAAATTTTGCCTGGTTGTCCCACCTTCATGAAATTTCCTTGCTATTTTGTGTGCGATTACTAGTTGTTAACTGCGGTCTATTCAGTGATCAATTTCTGTGTGACCTTTGCGTGATAGAATAGTTGTTTTATCCATTATTTCAACCCACAGAGTAGTGTGATGACTAGGAAGAATTTCACAAACATGCGAAAAATTCTACTCCTGTGAAGTTGATTGCATTATGATATTGATTTCCGACTTGATGAGTGTGTTTGTCAGGTGTTGTAGGTCACCGAAGCAGCAATCTGGAGGTTATGTTTTCGAATCGTAAAACTACCGCCTACACTATTGCATTCTGTACTTGACCACGTCTCCATTCGAACACTGGTTTTCAGTCTTCAGGATTGAGGGCAGAGGGCAGGGTGCCCGTGTAAGCCCCATCACCACTGGGTTGAAGGTCCGATCACAAGTGTTCGTTCCTCCATAGTCCCTTCAGATGCTTATCCAGATACCGTCTTCTCTTCCACCACAATCCCTGGAAGGGAATTCCAGAGTGTTGTTGACCTACGCGGGAATCGGTAGACTAACGGAAGACCAACTGACTGAAGTTTCCACAACGTGAGAGTGCCCCCGCGTGCGTTCTATTGTTTAAAATCTCTCCTCATATGCTCAGTTGACAATTCAGTAACCGCAGCGACCACGTAGATTATGCGTTCGAACTTTTCGGCCGTGATCGCGAGTCATCCGCAATTTTTCCGTTGAATAAATTCTGTTGTTGCAGATTTCCACTCCAGAATTGATCTATTCAACCAGTGCCGTGTATTCAACTTTCCGTACCAAGTGCACGTCCCCGTTGATGAAATTTCTCCGGGATTGATATTGGAATACCCAAGTACTGGAGGCTTCTCTTTGATTATGAATCGCTCATGTAGGTTTGTGTACACGCAGTTCAACCTCTGTATACATTCGAATCTACCGTGCGTTTCTGTCCCCTGTCATTTACAAACATAAAAACAGATTCAGTTACAAATCCTCAGACGCGAGTCAGGATCAACCGATGAACTGGCAAAAGACACGGTGATTCTGTGCTTTTCAGTGCATGAGATTGGGACACATGTGATGAAACGTCGCTGGGATCAAGAGTTGCAAGTGAGCCGTGTTAAAATTTTATCCAGACACCCAGGTTAACCATATCATAGGGTATATATAAATATAAATATATATATATATATATGTATGTATATACATACATTATTGCTCATTACCCACGAAGTTAAAGCGAAAACAGTGTTTTTTGCACTGCATTTATTATTATTGTTATTATTATTATTTGAAAATCGATTTGAAACGTTCAAGATATCATTCGACAAAATTAATGTAAAATACCTCAGTCATTCATTTCACTTTCCTTGTACTCTTTCCACAATTAATTCCCTTTTATAACGTACGAATTGTATCATTTAGTGATGGTGGCGCAGTTATGTAGTCGCTGTCACTGGTGTGCTTTGGACCCTATGATCCGAGGTTCGAGCCCCGCCACCTGACTTTGGCGGGAGGTAGCTCTGCTGTCGTCCGGTTTAAGGCCACGCCTAACCTATCGGGGCCTTATGTGGTTCTCTGCTCCAAGTCCCGGGTCTTGGGTTGCCGGTTTGCACCGCTGAACAGCAGATTCTCGTGACTATGGGGTTCGCCTCGTCTGCTGTTCATCACATTTAGATGTGTAATGAAAAAACTAAACATCGATCTATTGGGAAACGCGTAGAACTCGTGGACTAATGGTGGCCTTATTCTTGTTCCGCCAGTTGCGTTTCACATTGGTTTGCTTTGATTTCACATTCTGTGCTCATGTGCAACAGACGTCATGGAGAAATTGTGCGTTTTGCGGATTCTCCCCGATTGCGCTAGTAGAGTTGTAGTTGACCATAATGAGCGAACTACTTTCGATAATCCTTACGTGGTATACAGCGTCGAAGTTAGTATCTGTCTACCCAATGATTGATAATGTCAACGAGATTTTGAGAACAACTGGCACGCGGATGTAAATATGCTCGCTTTCTTCCCAGAAATTCTATCTCGTTAAAAGAATTTCAATTCTATCAATCTCCACTTTTGTGTGTGCCATTTCACAAATATTTCCAAGTCATAATTATCCTCATTTTGTTGTGTGTGTGTGTAGAGAAACAGGGAGTGTTCTAGACAATTTGATGCGCACGAGTATAATTGGAGTTCAGACACAAATCACGTGCTTCCTTAGCTAGTCTGGATTCTGTTGTCAGATTTCGGACGTATTGGTGCTTTATCCGGAAGTCGGCATAGTACATCGTAGAAACCGGAACTTGGACTCGGAACGAAATCAGAACATAATAGCAAATCGCTGTGTCATTTAAATAGGCACAAGTATGGGTGTACTAGAATATCGTATATGATGAAACAAATTATCATGCCTTTTTAGGCGGTGAATGTTCGAATTAGTCCATTCGTTTTTTCAGACACTAGGTGCTGTTGGCACAAACATTTCCATCGCATTCAAATGCATTTGATTGGTGGTTAATTGACGATTTCCGAAGAAGTGAAACCTGCACCCAAGGTCATCAACAGTGCCTGGTGCGTGTGAAAAACCGAATGGGCTAATCCAAACATTCACCGTCTAAAGTCATTGAGCCGTTAGCACGAGGTGATGGTCATCGACCGTGTAGCCCAGGAGTGAGGGTTTGAAGTTCCAACCCGAAGGTTCGCGATTCGAGTCCTGACAGGGACACAAAAAGTACGCACTTCTGACGAGTCCCAAACAGGACGAAACAGCTGTCCAGTGCGTTCTTTGTCGATCATCACAAACATTTTCATCGCATTTAAGTTACCATGCCTGCCCAACTTCAAGCCAACTCGCGTCTCCTCTAATCACGGCGAATCTTGTTAGACAAAGGTTCAGATCACCGGAATGTTTGCCAGTGTGAATAGGAGTTGATAATCACCAAGCCATTTCGACGGTGTTCCTCACGCTATAGTGTCTGGCAATGGAAACCGTTTTTTACTGCTACTGAACGCGATTCACTGGTTCACTTCTTGGGGTTTCCCCCACATTAGCATCTGAAAACTTCGTATGTGTCAAGGAGTGCTTCCGATGAATTGATGAAAAGAATAAATACATTCTAGATGTGGTATCACAATGTCATACACTCAGTGATCGGCCATAGTCTCTCAAAGCTGTTTAACGATCGAACATTCTGTGCAGATCTTCATTTGGAATCCACCGAACTGGTGCATCATTGTGGTCACAAACTACGACCATCCAAACGCGTTCTGCTATAAACCATGTGAGGAAAATAGTTTGTCGAATATGAGGCTCATATGACGGTATTGTACTTTGTAGACAAAACACATACTGTTATTCGCTGCATTGCCCCTCGGGCTGAGTTTTTTTTTTGAGAATTCATTCTTATCTCTGCATTATAACAGTCTCTGTTGATCCCGAGTGTAATCATCATCTTTGTGTTTTTTATCACCAGGTTGTTTCTGATTCAATGTAGACGGTGTAAAGTTCACTTTTGCCGCTCACTATTTCTGCACTGTCTGACCCTCTTATGGTTGCGTGTATCATCAAAGGCGCATCATCGTCATCGATTAGAGACAACGATCTATTAGCCTGTAACCACAACCGACTAAGCCATGTATATTGCGCTCTAAGTGCTCCATTCAAACGGACCTTGCTTGATTTGTGAAAGAAAAATGAGTTATCTATTAGATGGGGTACTTCTCCAAGTTCAATTTTTAATATGCGGAACCGATCAACCCCGAACAGCGGGTCTGTAGACATTCATCTGTGCATTGATAGGCAATCACTAGTTAAAATTTGTTAGACTCACGGTGTTTTTACTGACTTGCTAACGTTGTTGATCAGTGTTTTCTGTGGGACATTTCTGAGTTACGTTCTATCCAGTCAATACACAGTTTCTTGCAACAGGGATCAACTCTTATTTTTTTTTTTTTAATATGCAACCGCTTTCTAAGCAGCTGGCCACAGAGGCGCAAAAGTAATTAGCAGTTGCTTGGGAATCTATATAATTTCACGGAATAAAACAAAATACAGATCCACGGTGTTCCGTACAAATATCATGAGCGGTTGGCTAACCGGATCATCGTAATCGGGATTCGCGTCATCGGCTGGCAGTGTCTGATTTTGTCTTTGTGTTCTGATCCTTCTCCCGCCCATCCTGAACTGGTAAACACTGAATTGCTTTTTGTTTCATCTGTTCTCCGACGCTATTGTCATTGCGCAATTGAACCTCTCTGCACACAGGCACACATCGGTGCACTTTCGATTGCTGTTCCAAGTTATCTGGACTCCAAAACTAAAGAGCCCGTGTGTTTAGCAAAAACGCGACGTCACGTCGAAGGTCATCATTTACTTGCTGTGAATCTGCTTATTGCCGAAAAAAATGCGCCCGATTTTGAATTTCGTTACAATAATACGCGACATCATTTACGCTGTGAATTCAAGACGCTCGAGGTAAGCAATCGTGTAGAACGCTGCTGTAGTTATTTCGTTTTTTGTTTTGTGTGTGTGTGTGTTGCATATTCCCCAAATTGTATCACTCTCCAAGCGGAGAATTACACCGAAAAAAAACAGGACTGCTTCGCGTATCTCTACGTTGCGTGATCTGTTTGTCTGAATAGTCGAATAGAGTCAGTTGTCGGTCTTTATTTTCTTCCCAAAAAAGACATGTTTTCTTTTGCTTTGTATTTGACTGTCACTCAGTGTTTGAGCGACTCGTAGATCGAAATTTCAACTCTCATCCTAGACGGCCTGAAACATGAAATTGACGAGTTCTGAATTCAAAAAAAGGAACATTATGTACACCCAATGCATCTCATCTTCAATGATGAGATTGTTTCGTTCCGTTTTGTATTTAGTGCGCGCAGTGGCATACCAAATCGTTGACTTGATAGTCACCAGAAGGAACACAGTGCATGTGTACAGGTATAACACTGTTTAACGAATAAGGATCGCCAACTGAAGAAGCTCTGTAGCAATAGAGTTCCATTAGATAATCCTCGGAACAACCCCGGCTTTAAGAATCGAAGGAAAGCTGGACAGAACGGCAACCTAGACCGCTAGAAACCTTCAAACATGCCTTTTAAGGATACTTTTTTTTACTTCAATGTGGCTGGCTCCTTGGGAAGGATTAGCCGGCTCCAGACATGATCACGATCATGAAGTTACTTGGAAGTTTGGTACCAGAGACGTCCCTGGCGTCACTCGGTGTTATTTTGAGGGCGCATCTCTAGCCTTTGCACAACCAAGTACCTATAGCAAGGTAGCAGGAAGTAATTTCTCGCCTCGGAAGTGAGGGGGTCAGTGAGTTTCGTTTTAAAAGGTCAGTCACACCGACCTTTGTCACGACACTGTGATTGGATTTGTGCGGCTTTTAAACAGGAATCAAGTGACCAGCCTGAAACCCATCACATCCTGGTGGCGCCGCCTCTGTTTATTTGTTGCGGTATGCCACAACTTATCCACAGCTAACCTTCTTCTGTGGAGGTATCCCCCTATCCGCAATGCGGGGACGCGTCTGGTAGCATTCAGCTCCGCTTAACTCGAGGGTATCCAGTTTTTTCTGGTGCTGATGGTGTAAGGTGTTTCAAATCACTGTTGTCACTGGCGCGCTTTGAGTCCAAGGGGGTTTACCCTAGGTTTAAACTTTATAGCCTTCATCCATATTTGGTTGTCTACTTCTTTGTTTTCGGTTCTCTATTCTTTGCATTTGAGCTTGGTTCCGAAATCCCTCAGCATGCTCAGAGGATGACCGTGTTGGGTTGTGTTTTCGATCACCTTTCGTTTGCACCTCGCGATCCGTCCGTATGCGATCAAGCGCCTGAGGTAGCTGAGGAAGCTCTGCTCACTGTCTTCACTGGACTGAGGGTTTAAACGTCAAGGTGACGTGACTGAAAGTGAACATCCGAGGCTATTACTGGGTCGGTAAACCACTGGTATTTCACTTAGGGTATGTAAGTAAAATCCCTGATTCCATNACACACACACACACACACACACACACACACACACACACACACACACATATATATATATATACATATATATATATATATATATATATATGCATCTTCCTGGTTGTGGCAGTCATCACCGATTCATTTGATCGTCGATGTGTATTGGGTACATTGCACGTTTGATCGCGTTCGGAGGGTGTATGATCCGGTGAAGTGGACATCAGCCCCCCCCAATGAATTGTTTTTGTTACACCGCCCGGCTACCTTCCGGTTCACGCTTTGACTAACCGTATGCTCCCGTCAACTCTCCACAAAGTTCCATGTATTGACCTGGACAATCTAATTGTATTCCACCTGCTAGCGAATCATTTTTTGGGCACACAGTTTGATTTTCGACTAGTGTGAACTATGTTATGTAACACATTTTTATAATGAATTGGACATAAATCAAATGTGTAACTTTAGAAGAGTTTAAATTCTCCGCTTTTTGCTGGACATCCGTTCCTCAAATTTCGATATACCAAAGCTTACATCACTTGATGCTAACCGATATGTTTGAATTCATATTTCTTTTTCATTCAGTTGTGCATCCATCAAGAAGCGACTCTGCTTCTAATAGATTACTTCAGTAAACTCGTACATGAACTAGTGGTGCCAACGAAAGTGGAGCCGGAAAACGCGACCCCAGCGGAATTAGAGTGGGCCGCGAAAGTAGGCGATAAACAAGGCATGAGTATAGCTCAAGCCCGGGCCGAGGCGGAAGCGACCTCAAGCAAACAGCTTCCGGATCACCTAACCGCGGCATTTGCCATTGAAAGCCACATCGCACGCAAATACGAGCGTCGAAATATTCGACTGGATGCGGCCTCAGCTGCCAGCAAAACCGGTAAGCGTATACCAATTGGTTGGAATAAATGGATACACAGTGCACAACGTAATCCGACATCAATGGTCATATCTCTGTGGCTTTTTTTACATACATGCTTCTGCTGTGTACGTTGTTTCTTCCCGTTATAAGCGATTGGCGGCTTAAAATATCTTCCCATGATGGTTTCTGTTGCTTTTCTCATTTGCATACTCGGCTAACTTGCTCGTCTTTCTTAACTCTTACTCCTCTCTGTTGCTTAGTTGAATCCAAGACTGAAGGTAAGTAAGGATTAGCTGCCCCGAGAAGAGTCTGTCTGGACCACAGATCCTATCGATCAGTCCAGCCCGAATGTTTATGCGTGTGTGTGTGTGGCAATTCGCATGTCTTGCTACTTTTCTCCCCTCTTCTTACAGCACATAGTTTGCCAATAATCCACGCACTCACCCACTTCCGTGATGCACTCACCGGCTCCTGATTTGTGACCATACATCGACAGGCACGCCGTTCCTCTGCCGCGTGCATGCCAATCTTGCACACTCATTTGCTTGCTTGTTTGTTGTTTTCTTTTTTTCACACTGAGGCGTACTTGCATTTCGATTTTGTGCCCATATCGGAACGTTTTGGTTTGAATGTGCATTTTCTCCGCTTGGATTAAAAAATATCGATTTTTCTGATCACCTGAATCCGCCTACCCTTATTCCAAGGTGAATGCAAGCGGTACCATAAAGAGCATCCAGCACGTGCGTCCTTTATCGTTTTTTTTAGGGGGGGGGCGTGGGGGGAGGAAAAGAAAACTGTCACTCAACGAATCGTCGCGATCAAACTGGTTTGGCTTGAAAAGACCATGGAGCTACTTGAGGTTAGCGATGCTTAAACTGCAAGGAAGTTCTCATTGCCACTGGTCACTTCGGTCCTATGTCGTGGACACTTCATCATCATGGAGTGAATGAAACGAAAATGAAAATACTACTTTGTCCAGGTGCTGAGTGTGAAGAAATCATTATTCAGATAGCACAAAGCTGATCGGTAGAGCTTAAATCAACCTAGTCGACTACACTAGACTGTTGCAGTTCGTTTTTCCGTCCAACTTCGCAGGATTGATAAATTGAACTGTGCAAAAATTGTTGAGGCCACGTTCTAATAATGTTCTTCGCAAAACCGTCCCGCATCTCAATCGTGGGATATTTATAATTGAAACAACCAGAGTCGTTCGAAATATTTCAAATTATCAACATATTTTAAGATTATTGAAACGTTTAAGTGATCATTGTTACTTAAAAACGGCTTTTAGTTACATTATATCCTCTCAGGTATTCTTAACAAAACTGTGGGCTTTCGTGTGCCGTGTAGAAGATTGAAATCTTCAACCACAACTGGAGCTGTTTCTACGTACATTGTACTTATGGTAAAGATCAACTAGCTATGGTCATTAGAGTTGGGATGTTCACTATGTGTGCATTTTATGCATGATTGATGCTTGCCTGTGACATGTTGCACCGAAGTCATCATCATTGCACAGGAACTGTGATGTGGACCAGCTCCCCCCTTATTCTGTATGCAACACTGATGGTGACTATATTGATTGAAATCGACTCCTCTGTGTTTGAAGCTTGTGACGCCTGTTCAGTTGAATGCTTGTGAAGTCGAGCGACAAGACTTGTTTATTGATACCGCTTATTACGGAGACCTCGGTATCAACTGTACTACCCACTGTGAGTTTTCCCGTGCCAATTGAGCACAGTTGCCAGATCCAGTACATACGAAATCCACACTGTACGAATTTCATTCGTCTTTGTTGCTCCGGTTGTGTTGGTTGCTTCGATCTGTGTGAATCTAGCTGTGTAACTGAACAACCTGGATTGTTTTCAAGGGTCTGATTCTGGTTCGTTCTTACGCCAGAATGGGATAAATCACTCTATTATTGACTGCTAAGTTTATTTCAAAATAATTCTTTGTATTTTATGTGCGTTTATTCTGTTGCTACGCCACTAATGACGATTTTTCACCTGGAATCAGAGTTAGAACAGAATAAGTAGAGAACTATATAGATATATTGTGGTGATCCTGTCCTACAAGAAGACACATGCCACGAAGCGACACGTTACAGTTTTCGGACAACGGTAATAAATCGAGCTTCCCAGGTGACGTTAGTAATGCGCGTACGTGTCACAGCTTCTGAACTACATACCATAGGTCGATTGTAACAACCAATCGGAAACCGTGCGGCCCAGATGGAAGCTGAACAACTGGAAAAATACCAGCACGCGGTTGGCAGAAGCTTGGATAACCAATGAACTTGCTTTGTACATATTGTTTAATCCCCCTGATTTCTTTCAATACACGAACTGCTGTTCCTGTGGCCTTTTCCTCGCGTCTAGGTTCCGTCGGACACTGTGCAAGTACCAGTGTAATCCAGTGCTAACGTTGCGTCCGTGATTGCCAATTCGCGATCAGTGCATTTTACTATTACTACAATTGCCACATATAATACGTATACGTGTGTGTAATACAATTCAATTTGGATGTGTGGCAGTCCTTACTGATCTTGGTGCATCTGATCACCTCTCGCTCTGAATGCTCTTTGTTCATATTCTTGCCTAAGCTGGCTATCATTTTTATCTTAACATTTTACTACTAAAATGGTGTTAACACTGACGTTCATTTCCATCGGTTGTTTTCGGAAACTGCAACCTTTTTCCCTTTGAGCCAATAATTGTAGTGTTTGTTTCGATGCTGAGAAGTCGAGTCACAATCGGTTGGTTAGAAGAACTATGACACGCGAACGTTGATTGTTTTAAACGTTGATAGGCGAACACGACACTCAGTGGGTTACATGATTTTCTAGTTGTATGCACTCGTTGATTTTATGCACGTATCTTTCGGATCGTCGTTTTTCGACACACAATAAACTTTTCGTTGTCTGTGATCACCCACTACATAGCATTCGTAGTGGAGTCGGTTTCTCAGATATTTGTTCCTTTACATTGTCGTGACGTTTTCAATGAATTTTTATGTATAGTTTTCCTCATACATTGGTTACAAGTGGTGTGTATCTTTTTATGTGCACAACAGGGAAGACAGTGGTGATTCGTGAATTGCACATCACTCAGTGGTTGGTCAATGCCACATTGGACAAAGTCAAACTCACTCTGTGCTCGGACACAATGACTCTGCTGTCCACACACGTCCACGGCCTGCGATTGGATGTGTGCACCACATACAGCACACTGGAAATGTCTGCGATTCTATCCGAGCTCAGTGTGAAAGATCTGATCGAGTCAACCGGTTATCGTAAGGTGAGCCAAATCAGACCACTCGCTCGGGTTTCGCAGGCCAAATTTTTCTTCGCTTGGCGGATTCATACACTTTACTTACTTACTTACGGCGGCTGGCTCCTGCGAGAGCATAAGTCGTCGTCATGGATATCAAGTGAATATCCACGAAGTTGCATGGGAGTTAGGAACAGGAAACATCTCCAGCGTCACCCGGCTTTGGGTCGAGGTGGCATTTATAGCCTTTGCACATCCAAGTGCTAACTGCGAGGCAACAGGAAGGTAGCGCCTGGTTGCCGGTGACCCCCTTGAGTGGGGAGGGAAGCTCATACGCCATTGACAGTTTCTAGCTGAACAGGG